TTGTTTTTTTGCTATAGAACTACAATTGTACTTTGTAAATAATAAAGTTTAGTTACAATTGATTTAATTACTTTTATATTTTATTAAAGTTCTATTTTGACCCCTATAGTAGGTTTATTTTTTATTTTTTTACTTACAAATGCCTGCAAAGGGTGCCAAAGGCCTGGTAATTGCTGCTGCTACACTTACAGGACGATCAAATCCTTGTTTAATATTGACCAAACATTTAATTCAAATATCCACTTATTCTTTCATTTTTGGCCACCTTTTTGAGATAGAATTGCAACAGCCTCTATCATTTCTTCAACAAAAACATATGGACATCACAACCCTTACAAAAATTAACATGGTTTTATCGTAGTAAAACTGCTTAGTTTTCTTTTGTGTGATTTCTGAATGCTTGAGACTATAAAATCAATCAGATAACTGCATTAATAAAATCATAGCCGTAGGAGGCAACTGTTTTTTTTTTGTTTTTTTTTGTTAAAACTATGTTTTATTACACTGACTGCTCTTAATTTACTTTTTTATTTTTTTGTATATATTTTATTTTTTTAACTAATAGCTGTTTATGTAGAAGTGCACTCAGTAATTCTTCAGTGACTAATATCTTCTGCTTCATTTAATGCAGGGTCAATGCTGAAATTTGTTACAAAAGAGGATGAAGCGGTTTTTGATTTTTGATTTAATTTATTATTGTTTATTTTTTTAATATTTAATCTTTTAAAATGTTTTATTTAATATGTGTAATTTTAGTTTTTTGTTTTTTTGTTTTGTTTTTTTGCTATAGAACTACAATTGTACTTTGTAAATAATAAAGTTTAGTTACAATTGATTTAATTACTTTTATATTTTATTAAAGTTCTATTTTGACCCCTATAGTAGGTTTATTTTTTATTTTTTTACTTCCATAATATTTGGGGGAGGGGGCACAGCAATATAATTCTGCTTAGGGCACCCATTTGGCTAGCAGCGGCCCTGATTATGTGGGCGTGTTTCTCCACTGACAGCCACTCCAAAGTAGTAGTGTATTCAATTAAATATACTACCATTCAAAAGTTTGGGGTCATTAAGATATGTTTAATGCTTTTGAAAAGATTCTTATGCTCACCATGGATTTATTTGAGCAAAAATACAGTAAAAACAAGAATACGGTAAAATATTATTACATTATTAAATTAGCTGTTTTATGTTTTAATACATTTTAAAATGTAATTTATTCCTGTGTTGGCAAAGCTGAATATTCAGCAGCCATTATTCCAATCTTCATTGTCACATCCTTCCGAATATGCTGATGCTGTAGAAACATTTCTTATTATTACTGTAGAATTAAATTGTGCTACTTTTCATGATTCTTTGATGAATAGATGGTTCAAAAGAGCCGTATTTAAAATAGAAATCTTTTGTAACCTTATACATGTCTTTACTGTAATTTTGGATCAATTGAATGCATCCTTGCTGAATTAAAGTACTTTCTTTAAAAAAAATAAATAAATAAATAAAATCATACTGACCTCAAACATTTGAACAGTAGTGTTTTTTTACATGCAACATATAAATTGCAAAAAAAAAAAAAAGGTTTTAGTGCAGTGGAAATTGCTTTCAAACACTGAAGTTTATTTAATTAAATTTTTTTTTTAAGTTTGTTCTTAATTCAGCTTCTGATTGTAACTGACAACTGCTGAATTGATCTTTGACAGTATTGTGGCTCACCCAATCATGGACGACAACCACAAGCCCAAAGGTCTGCTGACCACTGAACTCTGAGAGCGACACCTTGAGCACATGCCCAACACCTGTCACAGGTCCGTCAAATGTTTTCCTACATTCCAGTCAAACACATTCCAGTGCCCTTACAATGCAGGCACAGACAACTGGACTCTGGGCATGCATGGGGTTGCAGTTTCATCTTCAAGAATGCTGGCTTTTGACAGATGGCATCCGCAAGCCCAGATCTCAACGCTGAGGACCAAGAATCACAAAGGGCTAACAGCAGGATCCAGTGTTTGGGGACCACCATTCCTTTTATAATTTTTATACCAGTTTTGAGTGACTCTATACAGGTGTAGCAGAAGCACATAAATGACCCAGTCATGTCGCGACGGGATGTTTGATCATCTAGAATGTTTGATCCACCCGCTGTCCACTTCCTGTTTAGATCTTCTCTGATTGGATGACTGTCAAAGAGCTTGTGAACCCTTGCATCACTGACTATTTTTAGAACTAGTAGTTTTTCCTACAGAAATTCTGTTTTCTTCTTTTTTTGCCTTTCTTTTACTCTGCTTTCTATATTCTTATGAAGTAGCTGCATTCATTATTACACTTGTAAGTTCTGTACTCTACACTGCACAGTTGTTAGAGCACTATTGTGTAGCATTGGGCAACTACAGTCATGAAGTCACTGAGCCAAGATTTGCTGTTTGAAACTTATCAATGCTGTTTTTATCCAAACAGTAGTTATGACCTGCCTTATTTTAATAGCTCATATAAGATTTTAAATGTACATGGACATATTACAACATAACATGTTACAGTGTAATTTGTCGTCATCTGTGTTTAATTGAAATATTTCACTGGGTGTTCTGTATAGTGTGTAAATGCAGTTCTTAAGTGTATTTCACTGTTTAAAAATGCTGTATGAGATATGTGAGATACAGGAGCAGCTGAGACCTCTGTCACCCACTGGCTTATACAATATCAAAACTGAGAAAGACTTGGACCATGCAAACAAACTAATATGCTATTTCCTGTGATGAAATGGACGGGGGGAAATCATTTGCAGTGTGTGTCAGTGGTTACCGCAAATGAGAGGCCTTTCATGGACCCTTCCTCCACTGCAAGCATGTGCTGCTGTTTTTCAGTACACTGAAAAGTGCGTAATTGGTATAATCACTGGATCTGAAATGTTTGGAGGTCAAATTTGAACTTTTTATAAAGTCAGTTCTTGTAAATAATTATACGTCAGATTTCTTAAAGTTGTTTGTATGGTCTACGTGTTCTGATTTGCTCTATACTCTCCTGTCTTTAGTGGAAGTGCTCAATCACAGAAGGCAGTTGTAGCAGGAATCCATTGATATGCTAATCATTTTGTTCTCCAAGTCTCACACTGTAGGCTTATTTACATATATTAATGATCTGTAGATGTCACAGCAGTGATCTGTTTATATCAATACACTGACTGTAAGCCTTGTCATTTTGTTTAATGTGATGTTCCACAAGTAAAAGATATTTTAACATTGTTATTGGACCCCTACTTTTTTAATAAATTGGAAATTTGTTACAGCTTGCCATTTACTTGTTAAAAAGAAACCACACTAAAAGAATGGATGGCCTACTTATAGTTTCTTAGTATAATTTTTTGCCTCTTAGTTCTATACTTAAAAGCTGATGATGATGATTTTAAAACTGTTCCAAATCTGTTTAGAATTTCATCTCATGTTGCTGATAATAATCAAATATGTGGATAAGCCTGTATTGCTTGTTTAAGCATAAAAGAGGGAATTTAATGAACTTCAGGAAATTCAACGAACCTAATGCACTTGACAATGTTTGTAGGTTTAAGACTAAACTGTAATGGATCTGGTCAGGCAGACGAAACCTTACACCAAGTTGTGCAGAGGAAAGAATTTCATTTAGACTACGTATACAAAAATATTCCCAATCCTAAATGGCAAAAGATTCCTTACTAGAATTCCTTACTCTGCAGTGACAAAATTGTGGTCATAACCTCACTCCTCTCTTTGCTTGACTGAACCTAGAAACGGTGCTGTCATTTCCTGGACTCGAAGCTGCCATAGACTCAGGTAAGGTTATTCTGTTTGTAAGTTTGTCATGATGTCTGTTGAAAGGTTTCTCCTGGCAGTGTGGCTTTAGTCTCCAGTGGAGCAGCAGGTGGAGCCAGAGCTCTTCATCACATGAGATGAACAGGATCAGATTTGAGTCCTCTAGCTCTAATGTAAAATCTAAACGTACGAATTTGTGGAACTCACACAAGATACTTTTTCAGTTTTTGTTGTTGTTGTTCACCTCATATTTAAGGAAATTTATTTGACAATAAATGTATTTAAAAAATGACATCATCAGAAACAAATGCAGATCACTGTTTAAAACTCGTGCTCCTTACGATTTCCAACCAAACTGTTTATTTACCGCATATTTATACTTATTTCAATCATATTATTTTACTTATAATATATATCACCATCAAAATATCATACAAGATGAAAGTGTTTGATTTTTTCACGGTCATAATTTGAAACTAGACTTAAATGCTTGTTGTTCAAAAAGACCCAAAAGAAAGTATATAGAACAATCTTAATACATATAGATAGACAATTTAAACATTTAGTGCCAAATAAATGTCATATGATTACTTACAGCAGACAAGTAAACGTATACACATCAATTCAAGGCACAAATGTAACCGGAAGAATTCAGTATAATTGCCTGATGTTATTGATGATGAATGAATCATTCATTCATTCATTCATTGCTTGTTTGTACAATACTTCTCGAAGCCCCGATAAGAATAACATTTTAGTTATTCTTATTAGCAGAACTGCTGCTAATGCTGTATTTCTCAGTCCAATTAATCATTGTTTTGGCAGTTCCCCCTGTAATTTAGATCGTGACCACAGAAGGCGCAAAATCTCACTTTTAATGGGGCTGCGCTTAAATGATGACATTTTATCTGGACGTGAACATTTGCGTCAATCCATCGGAAGTTACTAGGCAAGTTTCTCTCATTTTCGGCATTGGATAATAGCAGTCTGGGTATTTATTAAATAATACATATAAAAGTTGTGCGTACTTACGTAGTAGTACATTTGGAAATGAGCATGAAGCTCTTGTTCATATTGTCGTTAATGTTTTATCCTTCATTTTTCCCTAGTGTGAACTGCACAGTGTAAGTAACAGTGGTTCCCTCACTATTCTAATTAATTATGTTCATGTTTATTATTAGCCAGCATAAGTTGATGAGCCGTGAGGGAGGTGGCTTCGTTTTTACTGTTGCCACAAGCACAGCTCACATCTTTTAGTTGTGCGCCTGACGCGCTGGAGCGCACAGCCCGACTGTCCACGAGCGACTTCAGACAACTATTGAGCGCGCACGCTTCAGCTGATCCGAGACCCATTTCAGTTGTTCTTTTGAGCTTTATTCGGCACTAAAGCAGTACTTTATAAAAGACAGGGCATGGTGACTAAGAGGAACGGAGGAATTCTCTCTTCTGCGTCTTCAGCGGAGATTCAGCGCTGAATGAAACTCTCTGCAAATTTACCTGCCGAAAGCGCAGATGTGTCGAGAGAATAGTGCCGTTTAATCGACTATCCACAAACTTCTGTTGCTTTGACTCAGATTGACACGTCATGGCATCAGTGTCGTGGAGACACGCGCTTTTCTTCTTGCTAGTTGGTAAGTTGAACTGGTTTGTCCTGTTTATGTCTGCATTTCAACCTATTATGTTTGTTTCTGAAATTTCACACTGACTGTAAAACACCCAAGAAAGCTAGAACAAATCAGAACCGAACTACCCAGTAATTTAGTTTGTTTATCTGTTTGATAGGTTTGGTAGTGGTTTATGGGAGACGGGGACTAGTTATCACTATCTCACTTTCTGTCACATCTCAGTAACTGTAAGGTTTTGAGTCAGAAGTCCAGTGTATTTTAGCAGTGGTTTGGTATGTTGGTTTCAAACAAATACAAAACACAAAGAGTTTAAAATATTACATTTATACAGTTGATTGATTATAATATTTGCTAGCCAAAACGAGTTTAATATTTTTGTATGTTAGGGTGAATTCAGGTAAATTCGGCCATAGAGATGATTGGGAAATGACCCCATTATCTTTAATTAACTCTACCTTTTATATTTCATTTTCATAAATGTTTAACTGTTTTAAAATTTTTCTGAAAATGCTGCTATAAAATATGCTATTTGATGGCAGGTACCATGTGATGTGACAACTTACCCCACATAGTGGGACAACAATGCAAGTATAGCTAGAAGTTGTGAAATAATTTGATCTTAATATCCTGAACTGTAATGTTTTTTGGAGAAAAACATGTAATATTTGTATGTATAATACAAATGCTCTTATCCCACTTAGTCTGTTTTTTTTTATACACAAAGATTGGAAATTTTGCTGAAAGTGAAAAAAATTCATAAGTGACAAGCCCACCCACGTATGGGTCAATTATCAAATTTTCTAATTAATAATGCATGGCAACCTCCTTCTGTTAGAAATAATTCATTTCACACTTACCTTAACAAGCTCGCTGAGCATGACTAACAAGCTCCTCTCTCCTTGCCTTGATTTCCTGTCACCATTCAATTGGGATTGCTATATTTACTCTACGAAGATTCATGGCATGCTTTCTTAGGAAGAATGTCTATAAAGAATTGTAATGCAAATATGAGCTATTCTTGTGAACTGACCTGACTCTCAGTCGAGTAATGCACACATATGACTCTTCCTGGTTTGTGACAGTGACAAACGTGTATCTGTCTCTCTGACAGCAGAGGGAAAGAGTGGATGCTGATGCATCCACACAAGAGAATGAAGCTCATGTAAAACACTTCTGCTCCAGTTAAGCCTGCTGTAGTGAGTGTTCTCTAAAATATGTAGATTTAGCAGGGGAATCTTCTTTCTTTAAAACAGCGTCAGGAAGCAATGAAGTGAATTCAGGAGGAATGTATGTTAACTGATCTCTGAAATAAAGCCTGCTACCTTCTCTACGAATGTATGCAAATTCCCTTTCCCTTTCCCTTCCCTTCCCTTCCCTTTTTAGATGGCTCCCACCCTACTTTCTTTATAGATGGCTGTGTCCATCTTGTCCTGCAGATGCACCAGGGGAGTCTGACAGGTCCCAGGATATTGATGGCATCATGACTGTTAACTGCTGGCACAGAGAAAACAGTGGCTTCACGCTGTTGTTGCGAGCCGAGAAATAAATGTCAAGCACACTTTTCAAAACCGAACAAAGCTTTCATTGTGTTCCAGACCAGAATTGTGCTCTATCCCACCAAGATTCATTGCTGCTCCAGTTAAGCCTGCTGTAGTGAGTGTTCTCTAAAATATGTAGATTTAGCAGGGGAATCTTCTGGTTTTAAAACAGCGTCAGGAAGCAATGAAGTGAATTCAGGAGGAATGTATGTTAACTGATCTCTGAAATAAAGCCTGCTACCTTCTCTACGAATGTATGCAAATAAAAAATTAGATGCAAGCTTTTAGAATACATCATAATGCAATATGTAGCCTATTCCAACAATGCAAGTATGTGTTGCAATTTCACCGTTGCTGCAAAGGGCCCTATAATGGATGCTAAAGCCTAAAGCTATTTCATGACTAATAACACATCCAGTTTAGTGACCCACACCTTTGATAGTACGGTAACTCTATCGCACTCTGAGGTTTGTTAACGCAATAGCAACCTTTCCTTTCCTTTTTAATTTCTCCTTTCCTTTTCACTTCCTTTGCCCTTTACTTGTTGTCTTCCTTTACATTTTCCTTTCCTTTTCCATATTTTCCCATTTCTTACCTGGTTGTAGTTTCCTTTTTTTTTGCTTTTTAAATTCTCCTTTCCCCTTCTTTTTCTTTCCCTCCGTCCTTTCCCCTTCTTTTTCTTTCCCTCCGTCCTTTCCCTCATTGCTCTGACAATCTGACAATTGAAAGTCTACCACAGATAAAACACTAAATACAGTAAAAGACACTTTAGAAGGATGAAGGGGAGCACAAGGATGTGTCCTATACAGTTCTCTAAATGCAGATTAACACGGTGCATTTCTCTGATTGAGGTGAATAACCTGATGGCAGTGGGCGGGGAGATCTGGACAGCCGTAACAAGTGAAGATGAATATATGGCTGCTCTATTTCTTTGCGCTTGTCAGGACCGCTTTGTATTTCATTCTCAATGTACTGCCTTAAGCAGTTCTACCCTTGAAATTATTCAGTTTACTAGGTCTTCAATCCAAGAACATTAGTGAGCATTGTGTGTAAAGAATTTAATGGTAAATGATTATGGAATTTGTTTTACCAATGGAGCCTTTGGAATTACATCCAGAGGGCTGCTGGACCAAACTAAGCATGCTTGATTGTGCAGAATGGCTGCTGGAGCTGAACACAACAAATGTATCCATATTTCTGATTAGAGCTGACAGTCTAGACGTAGCATAATCAGAAGGTATCTCAATAACTTAAACAAAGCGGAATGAATTTGGTTTCCTCTGTCATTGTCTTAAAATCTTTTTAGTTAGACATGTAAGCAATGATATTTTGTATTAAAGCTGAAAGAAAAGTTGCTCTGTATGCTGTTCATATACTCAGATGACCCTTTTGCATCATGTTCGATTCATGACTGCATGACCTCCATCAACAATCATATTTTGTGGAAAAGTGTGATGCATGACCTATTTGGCCTGCATTCGGAATACAGTGTTGAAGATTTGAATACAAAAGCACAGTTAAACATACAGTGTAATAGCAAAACTTAATGAAATTATCTCAATTGTTATTTTTTAATACATTTTTATAAAATACCAAATAAAGGTCGGATAAAAATAGAGGTAAAGATGACTTGGGTATTTTGACAAAGAAACGTTATAGGACACACATTCGAGTTTACTGGAGTCTTTTGTCTGGGAAAAACTCTGAAAAGCAGGAGGCTTCAGTAAAAATCTAATTTTAATCTCCGGCTTGGAGAAGCAGCAGAGAGTTTTCTTTTAAACAGGGTGGCATGGGCATTGAGTCTTAGCTCTTGGCCGCTGATCATATAAATAAAAACAGGCAATTTGTGCGCCAGCCCCGGCCCTTGAGACGCATTTAGTATATGTCTAGCTCCAGAATAACAGTGTCACTTTGTTTAATGCTTTAAGAAACAGGTGTAGCACTGAAAAATACAGTTAATATTTGATGTCTAACCTGTCGTGTGATGTCAGCAGGGAATCAACATGCTGGAATGTGCAGCTCTCTGCAGCGCTGCTGGATGGGTTTGAAGTCCTCCCTGCATTAGCTGATTATTCATTATGCAGATCGAGTCACCCTATAAACTGCGTTGCGTCGCTGTGGTATAAATTAGTTTTAAAGGAAAATAAGAGGTGCATTGATTCATCTACTCACTGGCAGGCTTGAGATTAAGGCTCAGCAGGCCTTATCATGCAAAGGACAGACAACATGGCACTGAATGTGACATTATATGATCTGAAGTATCATTCTGGGGTCCTTGGTGTGATTGTCTAAAGAGACAGTTAAAGCAGCGCCAGACCCCATGCAGTGTTTTTAAGACCTCTCTGACAGCAGGAGCTCAGGAAGCAAGATCTCTCTCGGCCCCCGAGTGGCATTGGCATCTCAACCGCAACTACTTGCCGTCGAGTTGCAAAATAACACTTAATTTTATTTCCCTTTAGATTCAGACAGTGTTACTGTGGTTGATTTTAGCTATTTTAATTCTTCCTATAAAGCAGTCGTATCCTTCTATATATGTTATTTTTTTCTAAGGTTCTATAGGTTATTTGCTCCAAAAACATTTTTTCACGATCATGGTCTTTTCATAGATCAAGGAAAGTTCAGCTTCTCATTGGGTGACCCTGCTAAAGATATTACAAATAATTTTTTAGTGTCTAACTAATTGAAAAGTACAATAGATTTATTTATTTTTTGTTACAAATTATAATTACAGCATTTACATGCTAAATACTCATTAAAAGAAAATCATTAGTAATTTGCAGAAGAACAGACCTTCACCTTGCTTCTGTACAGCTATAAAGCTGTTTGTTTTTTTTGACATCAGAGTTATTGGATGGCTCGACTCTGTATATACAGTTACAATTTTGTAGAGAATCTTTTATTCTTAACTAAAATCTTGGCCCATTCCTCACTCAAAAAGCTTGCAGATAACTGATAAACTTTGGTTTTCATTAGTAAATTTACATTTAAATTCTACGACCGATCCCTGAACCAAGCTTCAGTAGATTTGGCATCACGATCTTTGCTAAAATGGCCTGACACTTCACAAAGTTCACAATGTCCTTCATACAGTCAAGATTTCCACTTCTTGAAACAGCAAAGCACCCTCATAACAAGACTGGTCCACCTCCATGTTTAACTGCTCATAAGCCTTCCCTTTTTTGGACCAGACATACCACTGATCCATGTGACCCAACTGGAACCTTTTGGTCACATCACTCCATAAAACATTCTTCCAGAACTCCACAGGTCTATCCAAATAAATTTTAGCATAGAAGTCAGCCTTTTATGTTCTTCTTGATCAAGAGCGGTCTTCTAGTGGTGTTCTTGTACTCTGTATTTAAATGTTTTTTCCTCCTTTCATCAGGCCGTCTTCTAAGTCTTTGGCAGTAAATTGAGGGGTCTTCTCAGTTGCTTTGATCAAACATTTTATTCTCCTTGATGATTTTT